CTATTCTTTGTGTTAAGAAAAAAAAAACATACGACAGCATAGCGTTAGCTTAGGATATTATGGCCCACATTTTGAACCAGCACAACCGAATGCACGCATGAGTGCTCTTCGGAATTCTCGCATATACAGGTTATCCTAGCTATTTTTAGGCAGAGTTTAAAAATATGCCAACACACGCATTGCCGGCGCGACTAAATGCATGTTGCTGACTGTTGCCCGGATTGAGTTTTGATGAGATGCTTAATTTGGCAACTTCAGTTAACCAAGTTTTGAGGCAACAGGGATGAACAAGAAATTCCAAGGAGAAAGTTGTAGCTTAGTTTGCAAAACGTCCCATTAGATAGTTTCGAAATTTTAACTGTTGGCGTCTTTCTGCCGAAACACCAGACGCAGCAACAGCCAGGATGATATTGTAAGAAACAATAATAGCCCATAGGAATTTTACATCCTATTAGCAATGTCAGGGTAAGTAAGAAAAGTGCTACAAAAGAATGCAAAGAGGCAAAGCCGCTGGTGAGGATAATGTAACAACGAAACTGCTGAAATACGGCAGAAAAATTGTATTGGAAAAACTGGCTAACTTCTATACGAAGTGTCTTTTGAAGGGAAGGGTACCAGAATCTTGGAAGAACGCCAACATCTTTTTAATCCACTAGAAAAGAGACGTCAAGTATTTGGAAAAGTACAGGCCGATGAGCTTACTGTCCGTTCTCTATAGCTATGTACAAAAATATGGCCTATAGAATTAAGGCGAGATTAGAGTTCAATCAACCAAAGGACCAAGCAGGATTTTGTACAAGCTACTCTACAATACACCATATTCATACTATCAATCAGGTAATAGAGATAGGTGCGGAATACAACTAACCCCTATTCATAGCTTTCACAAACTACGATAAGGCATTTGACTCAGTCGAGAAAGCAGCAGTAATGCAGGCAGTATACGGAATCAGGGCACCGACAAACCTGTACATAAACATACTGGAAGAAATCTTCACGGCATCCACAGCCACCATAAAGGAACCATAGAGAAAACGACAGAATCCCAATAAAGAAGAGTGTAAGACAGGGAGACACAATCTCTCTAATGCTAATCACCGCTTGTTTACTGGAGATTTTCAGGGCCCTAGCTAGGGAAGAGTTAGGGATAATAGTTAATGGAGAGTATCTAAGTAACCAGGGATTCGCTGATGACATTGCCTTGATGAGTAACTAAGGGAACAAATTACAGCTCATGGTTACTGAACTGAACACGGAAACCAGAAGAGTAGGTCTGGAAATTGATACGCACAAATATAAAGTTATATGCAACAGCCCTGGCAGAAAACAGCAATTGGCAATACGTGTAGTGATGCTGGAAGTTGTAAAGTAATATGTCTGCTTAGAACAGGTAGTTACGCGGAACCGAAGCATGAGAGTGAAATAACTAGAAGAGTAAGGATGGGGTGGGTCACATTCGGCAAGTATTCTCAAATCATGAATGATAATCCGTCATTAACCTTGAAGAGGAAGGTACAGAATAGGTGCACCTTGCCGGTACTTACATACGGAGCAGAAACTAGGAGACCTACAAAGAGGGTTCAGCTTAAATTGACGACAAAGTGAGTGATGAAACATAAAATGATAGGTGTAAATTTCAGGGTGCGTTCACACTTGGCCTCGAAAGCGGCGAATTCCTCCGGAAACAAACTCGTTTCGCCGCCCACGTGGCCGGAAAACCACGCCGTGCAACCGGCACACACACACACACACACACACACACACACACACACACACACACACACACACACACACACACACACCACACACACACACACACACACACACACACACACACACACACACACACACACACACCACACACACACACACACACACACACACACACACACACACACACACACACACACACACACACACACACACACACACACACACACACACACACACACACACACACACACACACACACACACACACACACACACACACACACACACTCTCTCTCTCTCTCTCATGCCTACACGCGCCATGATTGTAGTTCTCCGGAACGTTCCGCGTACGAACGATACGTTTCCATCGCAACGATCCATGACAGCGATGAACAAACACAGCGGTATGAAGTGGTCATTGCTTTTTCGCCGACAGCAAAACATGTTCGTCGCGCAGCCACCACCATCGCCGCGGCTCTGTCAAGACGCCAAAATCATCGGGTAAACGCTATGGTCGTATGTATGTGGAACGTTAAAAAGCAGCAGAATCACCGAGCACACTGGTGCAAAACCAGGCTAGTCACATGGTATTTTTTGTATTTTGTGGGCATTGCAGCTAGTCAAAAAAGCGCTGTCTTTTCAAACTGTCTAATCAGACGTTTTGCGAACCGATTTACAACTTTTTTGTTCGAATTGTCAGCTTCTTGCTTTAAAGGTTACTTAATTAAAGTAGCCCAAATAAGCCATAACTCAGGATACCAAATATAGACAGAACACTCTACGCAGCAGTCAGCAACATGCATGAATTGCTTGTACACTGACACGAAGTGTACTACTATACATAGTTATTTTCACGGAATTTACAGCATGCTAATCCTACCTCACGCGAGCACAGCTTCACCACTCGCTCGGCGGCTAAGTGCGTCGAAACGGTGAGAGACGCGTGCGCCATGAGGCGCAAATGACTTTACAGAAGGTGATCCCCCCCTCGCCACACACACACACACACACACACACACACACACACACACACACACACACACACACACACACACACACACACACACGCACACGCACACGCACGCACACACACACGCACACACACACACACACACACACACACGCTAGAGAGGAGTTTCGATAAAGCTTACCTAACCTCCTCTTCGCTGCATGCTAATGTTTTATCATGCCCCTAGGATGGAGAATGCGGCCGCTATCGTAGGACGTGCGCAGATTCACTCTTATAAGTTTGACTACAGTAATGATTTTAAAACTCTCTTGGGAACATCCCATCTGTTTAGGTACAAACCAACTCAGCGTCTCCTTGCAGCTCGTTAACTCGAAAGCCTTTCTTAGCTAGGTTGACGAAAGCGTACACCCACCTGGCGTCCATAAAAGCCGTGCCTGAAAAGCACGTGACCTTTCCCACCGGAACGGATACCTGCGCGAACAACAGTCACTGCATGCACATGCATACGTGGTCGCGTTTCTTGTCTACGTTTCTTGTCGCGTTTCTTGTTTCTTCTTCACTACACCTCGAACAGATCAAAATTTCACAGGACGTTTCACAGGCTCATTTTCTGTCTATACTGCACCATTTGTGACGAAATTCAGCACACCAGAACGAAAAAAAAAAAAAAACCAACTGCAAGTGCAACCGTAGGAATACCTTCCATAGAAACGCGGAGCTTCGCCCGGTCCAGAGAGTTGCCTGACCAGGGATGGTGCTTCCCGTTAGGCAATATAGCAGCGCCCAGACTAAAAAAGTGTATATTCTGGCCGTGCAACAACGTGCACTCATGATGTAGGAAAGGAGAATTCCTGTAGCAGACTTTGCAACACTTCTCCGTAAGAGCAACTTAACCAAAAGAAACGCTTCCATGTTTGTCGTTCATTTATTCATTTATGCCATACACGCAGCGCCTCATGACATTACAAAGGGGTGGGGGCGAAACAAAGAAAAATTCAAAGCTTGTGGTGTGGTAGCAAGCCGTAGCAGTATCAAGGGAACATAAATAATTGCATATACAAGAACACCAGCAATGTAACACTAAAGTTCACTGTAGTGTTTCATTAAGACATACTTGTAGGGTTCATAATAAACAATACGAAATCGCAAGTACAAAAGCATACATATTAAATTGATAGATTGAAGATGCATCCTCTCTTCAGGAAGGCTCATGAGGTACAAAGGGAGTGAAAGAGCACCAACCGAAATGAAAAGACTTCAAACATTAAAAAAAAGATCTTTTAGCTATGGTAGCCAAAACTTCGATTTTTATTATTTGAAACTCTTGTTTGGCTCGGCGCTTTCTCGTATCATTTGTACTTCAAGAAACCTATGTGTTATCATATGTACAAAAATACATAACACGCTTAGTATAACACCTAATAGTATATGATAATATGATGCTTGATATTATCATGGTGTTATTATCATGCTTTATATAATACTATCACAGCATGATATAAACATACCATGATAAAAAATAGAAAAAGAACATGGTTGTCTTAAAAAAATGATCCTTATGTTCTACTCACACGAACGATGGTTATGACAAGGCATCGATAGCGTGTCGTACTGCAAGAGTATAGGTAAAATAAGTTTTGAAAATTGCAAAATGTCCAACGTGATATGTTGGAATATACATGCAGTGAAGCTCCTTTCACACATTGCTCAGATGCTTCCTACGCGACATGTCTTCGTGGGCTATACTTAACTATAACGGGACGCGATGTTTCCAATGTTGGCGATCATTTATGATCAAATGTGTTTTTCTCAAGAAGCTTGTAACATGTAGTGAGTGAAAAAAAAAAACAAAGATAAATGTGGGAGTGAAAAGGAGACCCAGATATTTCGTATGATTTGGTACGAAGTAACATGCCATGAAGCCAGAGAAGGCGTTGAGAGAGGTAATCGTCAGCACACGGAGAGTCATCTTTGTGGCCCTCAGATGGGGTGTGAACCTCCCTAATTACGGGTGTGGTGCTTTATTATTGACGTTATTATCTTAGTGCATTATCTACCCAGAATGTGAACCTCCCTAATTACGGGTGTGGTGCTTTATTATCGACGTTATTATCTTAGTGCATTATCTACCCAGAATGACGGTCCGCGAACAGTGGGCCGAATGGTCAGGGTCTAACACTTTGTTCACAGGAATGCTCACACAGTATGGCCGTACATCTCATTTCTGTGCTTGTTTTCTTGCTGCTACTGTGGTCCTGGTCACAGTGTTGAATGGCTCAGGTCATTTCTAACGTGGGACGCAAATTTCTTCCGCGCAGATGGCAAGGGCGACAGCATTTTGCAGGTGCGATACGTGGACCTACACGTGGCGGAGAATGCCGAGCAGCACCGGACCGATGAATTTCAGCTCACCAAGGGGACTGACCCGGTGCTGGTGGTGCGGCGGGGGGATCCCTTCAGGCTGACTATAGATTTGAGCCGACACTTCAATCCGGACAGGGACACCCTGGCCTTCGTCTTCACTGTCAAGGGTGAGAACTACAGCCGGACTGAATCCAGCAAGCTTCTAGTTCACGCGAACAGTTTGTCATTTGCTGGTCAGTTTTCAATATTTCGAATGACTGGCTTGTGTTCTTGCGCACACATTAAGCGTTCAATTGGTTTGTAGAAATATTCATCTCAGTGAATATGATATTCGACAGCCACATCTGGGTACCCGGCCCTGTTTATAACCATTACTTCATACTATCTTCCGTAAAAGAGTCTTCAGACACCCCGGATACTAGAAAAGTGCTGCAGACATCGTACTTTAGCTAGTGTGCTATGACTTTGTGGAGACACAACTTGTAATGGCCAAATTCGATGTAAAAATAAGGTAAGTAGGAATTAAGGTACTGGATTAAAATCTTTCTCAAAGATAGCTGCATTACTTAGCGCATTTAAATGAACCCTTTCCCTCTACTCCTCCTTTCTTCTTCTTAAAAGCGGTTTGTAGTATACAAAAATGCTAGCCATAAAAACAATTACTAAGTATACGCTGGTGAATTCACGCACAGTGTACGTGACGCCTACGGCTGCAAAAAAATATGCATGACAAAGTTCAAAGTTTATCGCAAGGAAGAGGCTGCCTTCATGGGACGCCCAAAAGCTGAAGCTGGAGATTTTAGAAACTGCACCGATGCTTTTTTTTTTATCCCTCTCGCCTTCTTTTCAATCACCTAACACTATTTTTCTGCTTGAAATTCTTCACATAGTCACCAACTAGCACCAGATTACCATCTGAGCACCGCATTCACTCCCTCCTTCCAGCCCCCCCCCCTCTTTTTTTATTTGGGTGCGTTAGGTGTCACCTATGTGGTGTTATTCCCGCGGACAAATGTCATTCTCGCAACGATAGCTGATGATTAGTGGCCGTCCAAACACCTGTAGTTGGCCGGTTTTCTGAATCTTTCTTACGCCATGGTATGCTCTTTCAGGCAGGAGCTCACTCGCTCTTACTTGAACAGTAATTGCTTTAATGACAAAAGAATCTTTGCGGTGACGGCCATTCATTGAAAGAATCAACGCTTCAGTTTTGCGAATATGAGCCCTGATATACAATTTTCGCTCACGATGGGCGCATACGGCCAAAACTTCAATCGTAGTAAGCAAAAACAGGCTGTAAGAGTGTTGTACTAGCCATTATTGTCCCCTCATATAATATACTGTGTAGGCTTGTGATGATTACACGCCATTCAAGCATAAAAAAAGCGTCAGCACGCACGTAGCGTGCTTGAGCTTGAAAATAGTGAACGAAAAAAAAAAAGGTTCACTTATTTCACGCTTCATACACTGAAGCTGCAAAAGGAATTAAAATACATTATAGTGTCTTAAAGGACCAGGCAAAACCATAACACAAAGAGAAAAAAGGACAACAGTTGTACAGAAAAGAAAAAAAGTTCCATACTTGGCACTTATAGCACTACGACGAATCTATGCCTATTTTCTCGCATTTTAAGTGGAGTTTGAAGCGCAACGTCTCCTGCTCACGCGCAAACATTCACAGGTGAAGAGGCCCCGTCCTACACCAAAAACACCGTCGCTGTGGTGCCTGTAGGCTACAGGTCGTCCACTGAATACTTGGGGGGTGTCTCTTCCTGGACTGCCTTCGTCAAGACTGCTCGAGACGATGTCATCGACGTCGAGGTAAAAATCCTCCTTTTCCAGCCTCACTCCTCAGCATTAGGCGGAGTTTGGGCCAGACGTGCCTTCTTAGACGAAACAACTTACGGTTCCTATAGGATACACAAAGCAAAGATAACGTAAGGCTTGCATACTCACGGTTGCGTCGAAGTTGGCAACACAATTTTCTTCCAACAGCGTAGCATGCATGGCATGTGACACCACTGTCACACTATGCTCTTGCAATCTAAGTCGATATGAACTAAACTTCACAATCTAAAGAGGATTTCTTGCACAGTTTTTCACAAGGAACCAAATCACCATCTGGCGCGATCATGAATGACAGTGCACCGTGCGACACCATTACGATGTGCGCCTGGCAGAAGTGAGATTTCGCCACATGGAAGAACCATGACCCCATACTTATATCCGAAAAGTTTCGTATCACGCGAAACAGCTTGAGTATCGATGTTATAACGAAAAAAATAATTATTCGGCCTATATAAGCAGGGACAGAAAAATCAGCCCAATACAATGTCGAAAACTTTGGTTCTACCCCGAGATGTTTCTCGTTGCCCTTAAACTTGCGTTGCACTCTGTTGTGCTACTAACGACAGTCAAAAATGAGGCTAGAAAAAAGCGAAAGCAAATATTAAAAAACAAATGCTTAAATGCAGAATGCAGGATGATGGACGCCTTCTAGTCAGCCACGAGTTGTAAATGTAAGGATTCAATGAACAGCCATTGGGATATCAAAGTCACCTTAAAAATTTAAAACTATGCTAGCTCGTTACATATATATATATATATATATATATATATATATATATATATATATATATATATATATATATATATATATATATATATATATATATATATATATATATATATATATATATATATATATATATATATATATATATATATATGCGCTCACGGCTGGTTATTTCTTCATCCACTTTTCTTTCTTCTTATTTACATTCCATTGGTTCTAATAACTTCCCCTGTACATTCCTTGGCATTACTGTTTTTTAGATCTCATTAATATTGTGTCAAAACATGGAAAAACAAGTCCTTAGGTATACACTTCTTTCCCGTTATATATATATATATATATATATATATATATATATATATATATATATATATATATATATATATATATATATATATATATATCTATATATATATATATATATATATATATATATATATATATATATATGCATGCTTTTCTTGCCTTTGCGACAAAATATTGGTACCGTTTTTTTTGTCTTTTAGATTACACCACCTGCCAATGTCATAGTGGGAGATTGGATGATGGACATTGACACTAAGAACCGTTCCGTGAATGACAACACGGGATTCAGATACACGCATAAGAATCCAATCTACATTCTCTTCAACCCTTGGAACAGGGGTAAGCCATCAATCAATGACATGAGCTTATTGGCTAAAGCAGCTAAACTGTTCGAATATCAAGAACACGTTGCCTATAGATTGTGCATTATCTTGATGTACAATCAATGCGCTTTCCGCTCGTTTTTCCTTTGTAGCGGACACCGTGTACATGGACGATGCCAAGCTGCGGTATGAGTGCGTTCTAATGGAGAGCGGCCTTATCTGGCGAGGAAACCACAGCAGGCTTAGGGCTACCGTGTGGAGCTACGGCCAGGTACTGTAACAAAAAAATTGAAGATTGCTTCATTCATAGTCGCAAACTGCATGGTTAGAAAGACGATTGCCTGCTGGGCTAGCTGGTTCACTTCAACGTACGTAACAGCGCGTAAATCTAGAAAAGACGGCACGGACACTTTACTCTTTGTCCGTGCCGTCTTCTTTACTTTTACGCGCTGTTACATACGTTGCATACTAACCGAGCAACAGGAATGTCTATTTATGTTCGGGAATTCGCGTCTGCATTTCTGTTCAAGTGTCAAAAAAAAAACAAATTAACTTTTGAAAGTGTTCAATGTGGTACCACGTTCAAGAAATAATAATAATAATTATTTTAATAATAATAATAATAATAATAATAATAATAATAATAATAATAATAATAATAATAATAATAATAATAATAATAATAATAATAATAATAATAATATAATAATTGAGGTCTTCCACCACAACACAACAATGTGATTATTGGGCATGCCTTAGTGGAGAGTTCCGGAAATTTAGACCTACTGGGGTCCTTTAACATGTACCCAAGTCATAGTACACGGGTCTCCAGCATTTCGCGGAGGCAGCGACGATGGCGCCGTGCATGTCAGACGCACTGCGATTGGCTCTCGTGTTTTCCTATTTTCTTGGCGCTTTGTGAGGTCGTGTTCAAGCTAGACTGCTTCGCAATGACTTCTAAGAAATTGTGACTTGGTGAACACAGGAATCGCACCGGTGAGCAGATTATTTCCAAATTTATAAGTGAGTGTCATTCCGACCACGCCGGGTGTGCAGCTAGACGCCACAGTTAGGCGCGGCTGCTCCGCTGTCTCCGCGGCTCAAAGCCACAGCGGCCCTGACGGAAAAGCGTCTTTTCTCGCTACTACTATTATACAAGATTGAATATAAGACAGTGGAGGCCCTGGTGTATGCTGAGGAGAATAAGATGGATTCATGGATTACGGGGATTATAAGATGATTGGAAGTGAACGAAGCCGCCGGAGTTTATGGTCAGAGAACGCCGGCGTCTAAGGGAAACGCTGAAGAGCATACGCCTGGCCGTCGCAGCTTCACAGATGTCAAGAAAAACTTTATAAGAGGCAGCAAGATGCCACCGCTGCTACGAGAAGAAACCAAGGTCGTCGCAAGGCCGAGAGGCAGTCTATGTATCATCAAGTTTGGCCCGTCTGTAATGGTAGAGGCCATATGGGGGGTGGCAGGGCTCGATCCGCACGTGAGAAATGCGTGCATGATGTGCCCTAATCGACTGTAAAATATCATAGCCGCCAGTGCTCCGAGCCAAGAGAATGTCAAGCGCTATGGAAACAGGACTACAAAAGGAGTGTATACGTGACTTATTCCCATGCCACCTGCGAGGGAGTCATCCAAAGGGTCCCGCTTAGCGACGGTCCAGAAGCCGTAAACCAGACGATTGTCAACTCAAAATATTCGCTGGCCCTTGAAGCGATGAGAATCAAGGGCGCTGACGTAATAATAGGGCTGTTCTACGGGTACAAGGTTCCCAGTTATGTTTCCTATGACGGCATCCTAATCAAGTGCTGTTTATACAGAAAGCGAGTCGACGTCTGCTATGCCTGCGGACGACTCGGACACCACTATAACGTCTGCCCGACGCCCAACGCTTCAATCGACAGGACTTGCAGACAAGCTATCTAGCAAAAAGAGGATCACGTTTGTGAGCCGATATGTAGTTTGCGTGACGGAAAACACCTCACTGCATCCAGGGAATGCAAGCACCGATGTGAGACATCTTATGTTGTCAGGAGCAGGCAAGACCCGAGGGCCCACCGAAGGCGGAAAAGGTCCCTATATTTGAATGTGGACTTTCCTCAAGCTCAACGGCTGTTATCAATAGAACCAGCCCGGATAATCGGCAGCTGGAGGGTGATCCAGATCAAGAAATATATCGAAAACCAGAGGCGGCAGCATGAGCTGCTCAACCTCCAGGATGCGTCAAAGGTCCCGTTTGAGATCCGGGGCCCCCTCCATGACTAGGACATGGTATGGAACAAAGGGTGGCACCAGACCACGTCCAAGTCCAGTTCCAGGCTTGACCAGGGAAGGACTGACGTAGTTGATCTAGGCCCGGACCTCTCGTTCAGGGCAGACTACAAGTACACCCAGGAACCCCAGCTGTCCACGCCAGTCCACGCCAACGAGCACCAGAGCAGGAGAAAGTGACGCCTAGCCTGGGCAGACAGTGAACTCCTACCGACTAAAGACGCCGGGACTACCACCTGGGCTGACAAAGTGAAAGGAACAGCAATGGGGAGAGAGAGCAGGGCAACCACATTATCTCATGTTTCTGATGTAAGTGACGCCAAACTAGATTGGTTAATTGCATTCTTCAAGAATTTGTAAGTGGAAGTCGCATCGCCTAATTCTTTCGTTACCACGCCTTTTCGAATCGATTGCTGGTGATCAATGCTTTGAATTGTCGATGTTGGCAGGTATAATTTGTTTCTCGTGCCCCAAACACTTTTTAGTAATTAGTCGAGTCACTCAACTTTCAGAATCAATTTCAATCAATCAAGTGACCCGTTTAGGCAACACAGTGATTTTCGACAGACCATTCCGGGAACAAATGTGCGTGTGTTGTTGGGAAAATGCACTTTGCTGGTGAACTTGACAGAAGTGCGTGCCCCTCGTGGTTATGCTACAGTACCATCAAGTTCTGTAATCACAAGAGCCTTTGCAAGTCAAATATCAAATTAAAGTGTCATCTTTACAATCTGCCAGTTTCGAGTAGTAATTATTGCCAGAAATTTATGCCAGCTATTCAATAGAGAGCTGTTGCTAAGAGTCAGGCAAGTTTATTCTTCAAAAGAATGTTTCCGAACGTCCGCCGCATGTGTAAAGTGTGGAGGTGGCCTTTCCAGCCAGTTTCTAGCAGTATAGGTTTCGCTTGCATCGTTATATCAGACGCAGGGCCGCATCTAGCGTCACTAGTCACTCCTATGGTGTCGTCGTCAAGCGCACGTTGGTGCGCGTCTGCGCTGCAAAAAAAAAAAAAAAAACCGCGCCACTCGAGCTGTCTTGCAACCGCACCTGGGTTGAGTGAGGAAGAGCTTAGAGTCCGAGGATGACAGCATGTCAGTTTCAAGCTGTATGCCATTTTACGTCAGCCTGAGACATCCGCAGCCGTTCATGGGTTTGTTTTGTTTGCAACCTCAAATTGTCTACTGCGCCGCAAGTGCGTAGCTGCTGATGTTTGTGCACAATCTTAAAGCTACCATGATTACGTACGAGGTCCAAACACCGCTGGAGTGCGCTGTCCTGGCACCGGCTTCCGAGCTTCTCCCCACGACAAGAAGACCACCGTTGGCACACCTAGACCCCGACTATGGAGCAGCGCAAAACGTTTCCGAACTGCGTGGGATATTGTTCTTTTTTCAATATGTTGTGCAAAAATGCAAAGAAATATGCTTGGATGCATATTTTGGAATCTCAATCTATGCGGAGTGAGGTGACTCATGCAAAGAAGTGACGCTGGACAAAATAGCGAAGCCTATTGCACATCTGATTTATAGAAAGATTATTGTCATCACGGGCATGCATATATATTAAAATACCTACAAGTAGACAAAAATACTGCAAAAAATGTACGAGTTCACTTGCGTCTCACGAAAAACCAAGTAATGCTTCCCCGCATGGCACGAGTAATGAAGCTGCACCTGTGTTCCGACTTTCCTTGTCTCTGTGAATGGAAACATTTTGTACGAATTCTTTGTTTGTTTTATACTCTTATACTGGATAATATATCTTCAAAATGTATACTTTGATTTTATTGTTTTAAATATTTTGCATATATAGTGTTTTTATTGCACTGTTTATCATCTAGAAACCATTATACACACTTTTCACATTTTTATTCATACCAAAATGTTTTTGTTGCTCTACGGCATGCATTTTTGGAAAGGGCAGATAATTGGACAAAATTTGGTACGCTGCAATTTGCACGGAAGTACTTTCTAAACTACAAAAATTATCTTCCCGAGACACACAAATATTAACCCTTTTTGAGAGATAACGAGATAGTTAAGAAAACACAAAGCGAGTGGTCTGAACAGACAGTGAAAAGGTGAAATCACGTTGAAGCACTGGTCGCGAAACCGGTCAGACAGAAAGACGCGTCGGGAGAGTTAAACAACTTTCCCACCCCCGCCCCCTCCTAAATAGAGGGCGCTTTGTGACAATAATAAAACAATGTTTCGGGTCATACAACAATTAGCAAGTACAAATGCAACAAATGCAAGAGCAAATGCGACAGTTACAGCAAGCCTTCCAAGAGCATACGATAAATAATTTTAAGGTAAAAAACTGTTGAACAAGTGCAATATAACACCGAGAAAAATTTAAGAAAACAGAAGTAGCAGTTGAGGAAGATAAAAGAGATTTTAATGTCGAACTTTGACGCGTAGAGGACAGAGAATAAATCCCTGAGAGGTGCAGTAGTAAAGAAAACGCTCACCGGAGCCACTAAAGTAAACACGGCGGACAACCATGGCTAACACACAATGGTTTGAAGCTTGAGAATAGAACTGTCGCAGCATCTTCAACAAAAAGAATACGCTACAACAATTGGTAAAGATAATCTTAAACAAAACCAAAGTCATTATGCTGCAGAAAACATTAACGGAGAAAATAAATTTTACCGCGTACACATTGAGGGGCAAAATAGAAGTAAACGGTGGCAGGGGAGTCGTAACCCTCATAGAGAAAAAGCTACCATTCGTAGAACATAATTTAAAATTGCGATCAAGTAAGGTCGAGTACGTTTTTACCGAGATCGTACTCAAAAGACAAAAGGGTAAGGCAAAGAGCATTTTCTGCCTCAACATTTACAGCAGTAGAAAAGAAAAAAAATTCTAGAACGGTTTTTTATACAGCACTGAAACTAGCGAGAGATTCCCCACTCGTAATTGTTGGAGACCTTAACCCGGCACATCAAACGTGGGAATATACGTAGAATATGAAGAAGGGCGAAGA